TATATATATGATGATGTGTGTGTGTGTGTATTCTGCTGTTTTTGTATGACAACCCAGTGACAAGGATACCTGCAGTGATACCAGCACGTTATGACATCATGTGCGCCGTTGAATTTAGATTTGTGAAAATTTACAAATTTGCACTGTTGGAGTGTTGTCATTGTGTTAGAGAGAGTAAATGTCATGAATAAATTTGACATTAAACATAATCCAAGTTGAAGTGCTACATCATTTTCAGCCCTCCTTTTGGCGTCTGCATGTGGTATCAGGCCAAACTGACAAAGACCATGCAGAATAATGTAGTATTTTAATTCCACAGCAGAGAAAACTATGTAGTCTCTGTAAGTAAGTCTAGGGGAAAATAAATCAGTATTGGTATTGGTTACGGGCCAAATAAATTTTAACCTATCGGATATCGGTCAAAAATCCAATATCGTGCACCTCTACACATTCTATTTATATTTTTAAAGAAAATTGACACATACACACAAAAATCAACTACACACTCCTTAAAACTTATGTATCTGGTTTTAAAGGCAACATTTATTGTACAGTAACACACACATCACATAGTAAAGAGTCAAACTTCAACTTGTATTAAAAAAGATGCAGATGAAGTTCTAAAAATCTGTTCATGAATATTTTGCTAACGTGACACATGAATGCACAGACACTCAACATCGTCAACCGCCTTATTGCAGGTAAGCAATAAAAACAGTTTTAACAGCTCAGACTGTTTTGTGAAAGTGTCGTGTTGTCAACCTGTTTGTGCTCAGCACCAGAGAATGACGAGACAGAAGCAGACCTCACTTCATCACTCCCCAGCCCTCCTCCTGCGTTTTAGTTTTTGTGTTGGGCTCCAGTGGAACACCAGGTAAACCAGGAAAACAGACAAATATACAATAAAACTTAGATTTTTTTTTATGATTTAATGTTTTTCTGAACAAATCTTGTTTTGAAGATGGAGGCGTTGATACTCTGTATGCTTGTTAGCATTATGTGTGTGTGTTATTTTATGGCAACAGGTGGATGAAAGCTACATAGAAAGTAGGGTTGGTGCTGACAGTCCAAGGAATGTGTTAGGTCTCTGTTTACATGTGCACATGAACACACACACACACACACACACACACATACACACACATTAGGTGCATTTGTTGCTCCTTGGGTGGGATGTAACCGCAGGGAGATCTAAGGGAAAGGAGAGCAGTTGTGTTTTGGTTCAGTTGTCACATTGAGGGTGTGGCAGCTCACACCGACATCAGCAGTCAGAAGCAGGAGAATGTGTTTCTGAACGTGTTTCAGATGCAAACTGGTGGTTCAACTGGTGGTTCAACTAGTGGTTCAACTGGTGGTTCAACTGGTGGTTCAACTGGTGGTTCAACTAGTGGTTCAACTGGTGGTTCAACTGGTGGTTCAACTGGTGGTTCAACTAGTGGTTCAACTGGTGAGATATAATTCTGAGTATTTTTTGCAGTAGGTTCTGGTGAAAAGATTATGAAAGACTGGTATCTTACCTTTTATAGATAGCTCTCTGAACAACTCAGTTTGGAGGAACAGTTAACTTCAGGCTGCACCAGAAGTGCTACAGCTAGCTGCTGCTGCCAGTATTTGTGCTTGCAGGTAACCATAAAATTTGGTGTACAGTAGTCCCTCGTTTATCGCCGGGGAGCCGTACCCTGAAGCCCCGCGATAAGTGAAAAACTGCAAAGTAGGAATACAAGTAGTAAGTAATAGTTTATTTTAGTATTTAATATAAATGTGTGTATATATATAAGGCATTTTAAACTTTCCCACACTCTTGCAATATTCAAAACAATGTTTATAAACCCTAAACACTAAAAAAGCACAGAATGCCATGATCTCTGCTCCCTGCCACCTGCCAGCGGCCACGCCCACTTCTCTGCTGCAGAGCGCAGATATGACACGCTGCAGGAGGAAGCTTTTTCTGCAGCTGTGGTCTGCACGCAGGTGCTAAATAAATTAAAATAATTTATTTTAAATAAAAATTCCATGCCGATCTTGTGGCTCATCCATCAACCAGCCAATTGTGTGTCATGTCCAATCTTATTTTGAAAAACCGAGATAGAGCAAGTCCGCGAAAACCGATCCGCGAAATAGCGAGGGACTACTGTAAATGAAAATGTAAAATATTGACCGTGATGAAAACGTTTATAAAATGGCATTCATTTAAACAGCTATATTAATTTAAGACGGCAGCGAGCCACTTTGATACTAGCCTTTAGCTTGTTGTAGTGTTGTGTCAAACACCCAACTCTGAATAAAGACGCAGTTTAATCTCAACTCTCCAGACCTGGAATAAACAAGAAATACGGTTGTGGTCCAGTGGATGGTTGGGCTCTAAGAAAACTGCTGGAGCATTATAGCTGCATACTTCTCATGCATATGAACAGAACATACAACATTTAGATGCACTCAGAGACCAGATGCAACAGTTGTGTTTGTGTTGTTGGAGTTGTCTACACGCTGCTTTGGTCAGCTGGTGTTTTGGGTGAGTTTTCCCAAGTGAACTTGTTTGCTGAGCGTATCAGACAAGCTGTCAGGCCGGCTTATCTCAGTCACAACAACATGTCTGACCAGATAAGCATGCATGACCGACTCCTCTCTGTTTGCACTCTTTCTATTAGACACATATCAGCATTTAATGATTAAAAAGCATTCCTTAAAATAATGCATATCACCTGCCACCCAGCATGTTTTAACTTAAACTCATCTTATACTGAAGGGACAGAGTTACAGTCGTTTAGGTCAAATCTTGTTAACTTAGCCGCGGCCTCATGCAATATAAAAAATTAATGAGAGTGACTGTCAGGTACTACTACACAAAACTTAGTTAGAGCCATTTTGGTCTTGGCTAATGTCCATTAGCTGTGGGAGCCATTTTACATTGGGCTGACCACAAATATAATCTGCTGTAGATGTGCAGTGATTGATTTCTGATAGTTCCATTGAAATCTGTCCAGTGGTTCATGGCATATTTTGTTAACAGACAGACAGTGTAAAGTCAAAATGAGTTAATGTCAAAGTTTTAAGCAAAGATGTAGCCTATCACAGCAAATTGTACATTATACAACATTATCTTTGCTTCATCTTGACATCAGGTGATGATAACTATGCAGTAAAAGCCTGAGCGCTGGGTTTTAATCCTTGTGTCTCTGATAAACGTGCTGAGCTTCACATATTAGTTTCCACTTGTTGAATAAATTCTGCTAAATGCCCCTCAGCTGAGCATGTGTGTGTCTATGTGTCTAACATTCACATTCATCACTATAACCAATCTTTTGTAGGTTTAAATGTCGCTCCACCTTGCCAGGATGGAGAATAGGCAACATGTGACGTGAGCAGTCAGGATGTTTTACATTTTCACCGCTTCGCACATCTGCAGCGTGGCTCGTGTTTTTTCCTATACCTTCCTCACCTTTGTCAATATTTCTCTTTTTTCTCCTCTGCGTGAAAAAGAATGGTCCGTTGAAGCATCTGCAGCCCCCACCTCTTCCTCTGTTCCCCAAACCCCTTCCCTGCACCCCAACAACAGCCCTAACTGTCAGCAGGGACAAATCTTGACTTGTTCTCCAGCGTCATCTTCTGCCAGGATCAGAGCCCCACTTCCTGCTGCTGCCGCCACTGCCACCCCTTAAACACAGGACGCACGGCTGTCAAATCAAAGGAGCGTGATGAGCCGATGATTCTGCAAACATGTGGGTTAGATGGTCCTCAATGCCAGTGACAGTAAATACCAGTTTTACACACCTTAAAGCTTTAATCGCCTCTATAATTGAAAGCACTCCTTCTGTTTGATTTAAATGAACACGGTATTTTAAATTCAGAAACCTTTCACGACAACCATCAAACATCAAGTGATGGGAGTAAAACTAAATGTTGAATACACAGTCCTCAAGACTGGCATTTTGCCTAATCCAGTTACAGTCTGGATGTGAGTCAATACAGATTAGAGACCTGTTGGTCTGTAGGTGTCAACCCAACGAGAGGCTAATCCACAGCAAAGCGATGACCCTTTGAAGACACTCGACACTGAAATAACAGGATGAAGTAATATCGATGGGAAACTGCACGTTCAATGTTTACGTTTGGAAGTTAGGATTTTTGTCCTCTTAGTTGTTAGAACGACACTTTAAAACATTTTAAAAACCATCGTTCACACTTCAGCACACAGACTCTGAACAGACATGTTTATGGCACGCATCTTTAATACAGTAGTTAGTTACAGTGGTGTCAAAAATATACATACATCAGTTTGAAACATTCTAAAGGGTCTTTTTTGCCCCGTTTTAGAACCACATCAAAATCCATTCCTCACCCTGCTCCTGTTCCAAAACATTTGTCTTCTGCCATCTGCCCCCCCAAACCCTCCCCGTCTCTTCTCCACAAACTAATTAGGCTGCAGCATCTTTCATCTTCTTTTGTCCTCCCTCCTGCAGCCCAAACATCCCAAACATCATGAGGCTTTAAAGAGGTTTGAAATCTCTGCTCACTCGTCCTGAACAAGTGCTTAAAAAACAAACAAGTGGTATGAAAATAATGTGTGGCTGTAGATTTCATCCAGTGTAAAAAGATTTTTATGCACATCACAATTCATTACTCACTCAACACGTTTTTTTTTAAATGATAGAAATAAAAATAGTCCAGTGGAGAGAGAGAGAGAGAAATAAAACCAACAAAAAATAGACTCTTTCTTAGTTTCCTCTGAGAACTTGAAGACCAAAGCAGCTAAAGAGCTCAGCCAGCTGGCTCCAGCTTCCCAAGTCCACGCAACAAACAGAGCATCAACGTCTCGCTGCAGAACCGGAGGGACACACAGTTAATGACTGAAGGCAGTGGCAGTTCAGAGTTCACCATCTCATCTTACCAGCTGTAGACAACTGACACGTAAAGTCTGGATTTTAACCAGTGTTCCAGTGGTTAGAGCTGGGACTGTCCTGCAGCCGCAGTTCTCCTTCAACCATCTAAACCTTGGTGGCCAGAGACTGAACCTCTGACTTCTGAGTCTGGGCACTGAGAGTAGACGACATGGAGCTCATGTGGCCATGCATGGCCTTCTTCAGGTTGAGCAGGCACAAGCACTGGGAGCGAAAGCGCAGGTCAAAGAAGGCGTACAGGAATGGGTTGAGGCAGCTGTTGATGTAGGCCAAGCAGGTGGCGTAGGGGTGAGCCAGCAGCAGGAAACGCAGGAAGCCACAGGAGGTCGGAGCAAGGTTCAGGTAGGAGAGGGCGTCCATGCTCTTCAGCACATGGAAGGGAGTCCAGCAGATGGCAAACACCACCACCAGCGTGGTGATGATCTTCAGCAGGCGCTTTTTCTTCTGGTCCTCCTTGCGCAGGTTGTTGAAGTGACGGGTGACGGTGCAGCCGATGAAGCAGTAGAAGATGGTCATAGCCAGGAAAGGTAGGAGAAAACCCAAGGCGGAGGAGGAAAGACTGAGTCCTGCAATCCACAGGGACTCGTGCCTCTGGTTCATGGTCACTAGACTGAAGTCCATGGTACAGGTGGTCCGATTGCTGTTTTGGTCATTCATCGTGGTGCGGAAGAGTAGTGTCGGCACAGCCAGGAGGCAGGAAAGAAGCCAAATGGCACCCAGGGATGCAAGCATGGTGCCTCGTGAACGCAGCCTGCTGCTGGACAGGGAGTGCACGATGGCCAGGTAGCGGTCAAAACTCAGACAGGTGAGGCAGAAAACGCTGGCGTACATGTTGACCAAAACAACATAGCTGCTTATCTTGCACAGAGCTACACCGAATGGCCAGTGGTAGCCTAGAGCTGTGTACACAGCCCAGAGAGGTAGGGTCACAACAAAGGTGAGGTCAGCCAGGGCCAGGTTCCCAATGTAGACATCTGCAGCCCGACGTTTGGATTTGGATCGCCACACTGTGAAGATGACCACGCCGTTTCCAGACAGACCCAGGATGAAGATAAGCATGTAGAGCACTGGGATGAGGGAGTAAGAGGGCTCCCACTCTGAGAAATCACAGGCAGTTTCATTGTCATCATAATATTCATAACTGTCAGCATATTCCCCAGTAGGCTCCATGATGCAATGCCAAAAAATAATAACAAAAAAGTGTCCTTCACAGAGATAAGAGTCCTGCAGGGTCTCCACGAGTGAATGAGAGCAAAACTAAAGCCACTGAATCAGAAGAGCAGCCGGACCAAAAGAGTGAGACTGCTGCTGCGCACAGCCTTTTTAAACTCGGCCCTCTACACCCCTGGTTCCCTCCCAGGACGACCCCCCTCTCCTTCCCCTCACAGTAAAACATCTATCAGCTCTCCTCCTCCTCCCCTCTCTCACTTCTTCTGCCGTGGCCCATCCCTCGGCCTGCAAGATGAGGAGGCCCGGTGCAGATGTAGACTGACCCTTTGTTGCTTTTTATCAACTATTCTAAAACAACTTTACTATGATAACCAAATAAAGTTACTTGATGAGTAATATTGCCAAAGAACAGCTGGGTTTTTTCTCTTGTGAAAAGAATTTCTACATTTTTCATATATAAATTAAACTATGTCATTCAAAGTAATCAGAAAATTATACTTACTTCAGAAGTTTAACAACTGCACGTTAAAGTAGTCAAATTTGATAAAAATATGGAAACGGAAAACAGAGAAAATAAATATAATCTTTAGTTCTCTGTGATGGAGACTTCAGCTAGAAGCCACCAGCCTTTGGTAGTTGGTTTAAATAAGAAAACAAGACACTTCATTTTTGATAATTTAAAAAATATATGCATTATTTTATGAGATTAACCAAAAATGTCAACACATTGCCCATTTACAACAGCTAACAATTATTATGATTGTATTAACGGTGACCCCCAGAGTAAGCAGACTGAGAAGGAACGACAGAGTATAGCACATTTCAACAACAAGACAGTTCAAAGTGTTTTACGTCAGAAAAACACAAACTTAAGTCATAAAAACATACGGTCACCAGTTGAGAAACCAGTAACAAACATTACATTTTGTTGAGTGCCATCAAATATGTTGATCAATGTTCCATTTATTGTAATTCAAAGGAAACTAAACAGGTGGGGTTTTAGCCTTGATTTAAATTAACTCAGTGTTTCAGCTGTTTTTCAGTTGTCTGGAAGTTTGTTCCAGATTTGTGGTGCATAGAAGTTGAATGCTGCTTCTCCATGCTTGGTTCTAGTTCTGGGGATGCAGATCAGACCAGAACCAGAAGACCTAAAAGGTCTGGAAGGTTGATATGACAACAGCAGATCTTTAATGTATTGTGGTGCTAAGCCATTCAGTGATTTATAAACTAACAGTATTTTAAAGTCTATTCTCTGAGCTTCAGGGAGCCTGTGTAGGGATTTTAAAACTGGGGTGATCTTCCTGATTTTAGTGAGAATGCGACCAGCAGTGTCTGGATCAGTTGCAGCTGTCTGATTTTTTTAGGCAGACCCGTGAAGACACTATTGCAGTAATCAGTGTGACTAAAGATAAACGCATGGACAAGTTTCTCTAGATCTGGCTGCGACATTAGTCCTTTAATCCTGGAAATGTTCTTCAGGTGATAAAAGGCCAACTTTGTAAATGTCTATGTGGCTTTGAAGGTTCAGGTCCGAGTCCATCACCACACCCAGATTTCAGGCTTGATCACTAGTTTCTAGCTGTAATAACTGAAGCTGTGTGCTGACTGTAGGTCGTTCCTCTTTAGGTCCAAAGATTACTACTTCAGTTTTGTTTCGTTCAGCTGAAGAAAGTTCTGGCACATTCACACACTGATTTGTTCTAAGCATCTGCTCAGTGTTTGGATGGGTTCAGAGTCATCTGGTGACATCGTAATGTAGAGCTGTGTATCATCTGCATAGTTATGGTAACTTGTCTCATTTCCTGTTATAACCTGAGCAAGTGGGAGCATATGGATATTGAATAACAGTGGTCCCAGGGTTGAACCTTGGGGTACCCCATATGTGACTTCTGTCCACTTTGATTAGAATTTACCTATTGAAACAAAGCAATCCCTGTTCTTTATGCAAGATTCGAACCAAGTGAATACTGGACCGGAGAGTCCTACCCTACTTTGCAGTAGTTTCAATATTATGTCATGGTCAATGGTGTCAAATGCTGCGCTGAGGTCCAACAGAACCAGCATTGTGGTTCTTCCACAGTCTGTATTTATGTGGACGTCATTGAACACTGACAAGGGCAGTCTCAGTACTGCAGTGAGCATGAGTCAAGGTGCAAAAGGTAAGTGAAGTGAACTTTATTTACAGGTGCAGTGCCAGGTATTTACAGGGCTGGAAGAGAGGAGAGGGCAAGGTGAGGATCTTTTGAATCCTCAGACAATCCTTGGAAATTATGATTTTGAATTAAGAATAATCTTTTACTGTTTTTGTGTTTGAAGGTGCACCCCGGGGAGGAGTGGAGAGGTCCTGGGTTTTTTGGGAGATCCGGTGTTGAGGTGAGTATTGGTGGAGAGAGGAGCAAGTTGACCCAAGCTGGTTTGTTTGATGGGACACCGTTGGTCCACAGGAGAATCACTGTGGAGAGATGAGGTCCTAAGGAGACTTGAAGGAGCAGGACGTGGAAGGCCCTGGAGAAATCAGATGGTGAGGACCAGCTGTAATGAAAAGGTTAGTTGTCTGAACACGAGTTACCATAAGGTAGTTGATGTCCCAGCGCTGAAGAGAGGTCTGGCAGGAGCTTATATCCAGCCCCAGATCAGATCTCCTCAGGCAGCAGCAGGTGTAGTGAGTTGAAGGTGATTAGCTGTGGAATCCCACAACAGGACTCGTGCAAACCCATAAAAACTCTACACCAAGTAACATTTACTTTAACACACATCACAATTCCAATTTTGAAGTTACCGTTCTGTTGTTAGCATGCTACATGCTGGATAAACAACTGTACAATACTGTGGCCTTCAAAACATCTGTTATACCTTGTAAAATACAAACACAGTAAAATGACAAGAAGTTTAAATATAGTTTTAGTGTAAATTTTACATCAAGTTGTTACAGTGGCAATAGTTTAAGTTGGTAAAAGTAAGAACTTTATTCACACACAACTTCCTTTAGAGCATTTGGTGTAAGTTTTCAAAAGTTTTTATTTTTTAAGGCAAAAACAGCTACTTTACAGTGTAAGAATAATAAGTTGTTGGTGGAAAAAGTAGACAACATGTAGCTAATGAGTGCAGATGAGTTCATGACATCCACATTTTTCTGTTTCCTGTAAAAAACTGTTTTTTAAAGATTTTATTTGCAGCTTAATTTCATTTGAAGAGGAAACTGGTCCTGGAACACCTGGACATCTCCACATCCTTGTTTTACATCACAATCACTGTTAAAAGGCAGAAAAAAAAGTTGTTTTCTTTCTTTCTTTTACTTTCTTTCTTTCTTTCTTTCTTTCTTTCTTTCTTTCTTTCTTTCTT